GAAAGGCCAACACCTCGTCGTACAGACCATTGAATTCTTGAATATATTGCTCTAAAAACTAATCACAAATTCATTTCAAAAGAAACTCTTTACAAAAGAAATTCAATTCAATTACAGTTTCATTGATACAATTCATGCCCAATACGTGAACTCTTGATTGATGTCTATATGGGACTAATAATTCATTCATTTCAGCGCTTTTATAGCATTTATAAATCTCTTGTTTTTTAGGATCCGTCCAAACCTTCAGATTCAGGGCTGAAGCGATCGCAATGAAGACATTCTCTTTGCCGATACTATAAGTGCCGCAAACTATCAGTAAATTAGAGTTTTTATTGTTATGTTCACTAGAAATGGAGACAATTGTCTTTAGAATGTCTTTTTGTGGCAAAAAGTCGTATTTGGGATCACAATAAGTGGTGTCCAGAAAGATAGTATCAATTGGTCGGCAAATGAGTTGTTTGTATGCAAAGAACGAGTGGTCGGCCCTGAAGTCCCCGGTATGCAGATAACGGTAACCATTGGTCAACTCAAAGAGTATAACCACAGCTCCGGGACAGTGATTGGCCTCAAGAAACGTCACTCTCGTTCCCAACACTTCTCGCGTTTCGTTCACTTCGATGACATTCACGCGAAAGACAGCGCTTTTGAAGTGATTCCTCACTAATAAGGCAGTGATTGGCGAACAACAGATCTCATGAGTGAATGAGTTCTTGAGACCCACGTAATGGTCGGAATGGAAGTGCGTTAAGAAGTAGATCTCAATACCCGGTACTGAGCCGTAGCTGAAGGCGTCCACAACGAACCGGGTGTTTGGGATCTTCTTATAAAATGGACATATCTTTGGACCACTTCTGGCAAACTTTGTGCGACCGGTGTCTCGCTTCACACCATTGATCACCACTTCTTCATTTGGTGTCACTTTCCGCTTTTGTCCGCTTTGTTGAGCAATGAGTTTGTGGTTTGGTTTGTGAGACAATTGTCTATCACTTGAATCGATACCATTATCTGAGACTGTGGTGAAGAATGCGGTGATTTTGGTCTGTTTGGCCATTGGATTGTCACTGAACTTCTTCACCCGTTTGGTCACGCATTGAATCAATTGATTGAAAACTGAATGCAAACCAAACCCTCATAGAAGTGACGGTTGCCTCTCATATGGGGACTGAAGGGACTGTTGGCTCATAAATGTGAACATAATATGAGTGATGTAATGCTAACAGGTATTTCAATTTCATATGATTTCAAACTTTTATTTCGAAATAAATTAATTAAATTAATAAATAAATGCATTATAAATACAAATGTAATAATTAGTAATTTATTTCATTTTTTGATGCACTTGTGTGTAATGCTTCTTAACGTTGGCATTTTGACTGCTCCTGTATGTACATCCCGGCCAATAACATGCGTATGGTTTAACCCCGGTGTGTATAAACCTATGTTCCCTCAATGTCTTTGTAGTGCGGAACCATTTGCCACACTCGGGCCAATTGCATTGGAAAGGCTTCTCGCCGGTATGGGTGCGCCTGTGGTCCTTAATCAACTCCATGGTCCTGGCCTTATAGCAACAGCCGGGCCACTCGCATGATTTCATGGGTTTGAGTTTTACTATGTTATGCGAGTATTTCTGATGCTTTACTACATCGTGTTGTTTGTGAAACTTTTGTCCGCACCCGTCGACTGAGCACTTATAGGTGGGCTCCGGGTTATGGGTCCGCATGTGTGCCCTAAAAACCACTTTAGACTTGAATGCCTTTAGACAGCCCTCGAAGTCACACACGTATGGTGTGGCCGTCGAGTGGTTTTCCCTGTGGTGTCGCATATAGGCCTTGTGGACCGTTTCATACGTGCAGTCATTGTAACCACATTTAATGGGCACAACATTAGTGTGATATGTCTTGTAGTGGATTCTCATCGAGTGATTAGTTTTGAACACATGATTACAGCCGATATAATCACACGAAATACTAGCACTCGTGTGAACCGATATATAGTGCGCCCGAAATCTGCGGTAATTCTTGAAAGACTTGTGACACTCGTCGTGGCAACAGACGTAAGATTTGGTGATCGGGTCGTAGCACTTGCTGTCCAACTCTTTGCGGACATCTCTGTGGTGTTGAGTGGTTTGGTTCTCATGGCTCACCACATGGCTCTTCAGGCTGTTTTTGTTGGCGCAGACATACTCGCAGTTCTCGTAATCACATGAATATGTAATCCCCGTATGAGTTGTCCTTAAATGATGGGTAAACTTGCTGTCAGTTTTGAAACTCATTTGACAATCACTTTGTGGACAAATGTATGACTTTGTGATCATATCGTAACACATGTCCCTCTCGGATGAGCTCTGCCTCAAGAGTCTCAGTGTCTTGTCTTTTGACTCGTGGTTAAGTGATTGACGTTTTTGACGATTTCTGACACTTCTTCTGGCGGCCAAAGTTGGATCGATTTGGACACCACTTTCACCCGAGTCTTCGCCATATTTGTGCAAAGTACGGATCACTTCCTGCAGCGGACGAAGAGACTGAGATTTCTTCAATTTATGTCTATTTGTTGGTTCACTCGAGTGATTGTCTTCAGATGTCTTGACTTCCATTGTCTTCAATAACTCATTGAACGCCTGTTTGTCTTCGGATGAGATGATTGTCTCATATTTGGTGTGAATTTCAAATAAAAGTGTTTTCAATTGGTTTGCAAACAACAACTCATTTAAAAGTCGTTGGTTTTCAGCCTTTAATTCATCCAAAATATCATTAATACTAATAATTACAGTCTTTTTACTCGTCTTTGAAGCCATCCTTCACTCGAAAAGTCAATGAAAATCGTATTTAATTGTGAATTGCATTTCAAAACATCATTCAAACCGTTTGAATGCCTATTAACTCATAATATTCATCAACTCATAAACAAACCACACATTCCGGGGGACTGTTAGCTAAGTGTCACTAAATTATTCTCAAATAATTCTTATGAATGCTTTGATTCAGTGATTCTCTGCCAAGACTTTCACCAGAAGAACGGTTTTGTTTGAAATTCATTTCAATTTGAATGTAATTAAAGTATTGATGATTCTTCATGTGCAATAAGTGCATAATTATGTCATTTTAAGACAATTAAACCATAGTTTGTTTCAATTATTATCTAATGTGAGAAACAATTCACTGGAAGTGATGGTCGCAAGTGGTATCCACTCGGATTGTATCCGCTTCTAAGAACTGGAGGGCTTCAAGATCTGTGGGAAGGGCACGAATATACCCTCACAGGTAACTGCTCTCCCTATGGGGTATATGAGAGTAATCACCAAATGGGGTATAAATAGAATAAGACACTCACTGTCAAGGGGTCCGCAAATTGTATCAAAGTTGTAGCCATTTAAGAAAAAAAAAGTGATTTCTTTATTCATAGTTTACTTTATGTTCATTTAAAATACATTAAAAATTGTCAAAATATACGGTATAATTGAATGAATGATTGTTCAATAAAAATAAATCCTAACTAAGAGAGAGACTAACTATGCCTTCATTTATAACTACTTTCTTATTCTTAGAGACCTTTCGCTCAAATCTGTCGATAACTTTCTGTTTGTCGCAATTATCATCATTTGATTTGTATTTCTTGAGGACTTTTTTCTTGAGTTTCTTAAGAGTCAACTCATTATTCTGTGAATTGTGTAGAATTTCGACAATTATTTTATTCATATTTAATTTGCACTCAATGTTCGTGTCCTCCAAACCATTTTCCTGTACTTCTTGTGATTCAAAGGCATTCTGTTGTAGCGATTGGTTCTCAATGTTATAACCATTATTGTCATCACTTTGTCTCAATCTCTTAGAGGCAACAGATTCTGAATCATTTGAACTTCTTTTGTTACCATTCATTGAACCCTCGGTTTCATTGTTTTGGTTTTGTTTATCGTTTTGTTCACATTTGATGGACATTTCGAAGATCTCCCACATCTGTTGTCCGTAATAGTCATTTGTGATCCGAAGACTATTTCTGACAAAATTTATGAATTTCTGTCGCTTTCGAGGAATGTTGTCATAAGCGATGAGTCTTTGCATCAAATCCTTGATATGTTTGGTTGCCGTCGACTCGATGATCGCTTTCTTCACTTTCTGTAAAACCAATTCATAAACCAATGGTTCAATCAATCAATTCATGTCCAGTCGATGGCAAACCTGAATCCATTCCTCCTGTTTCTGTTGACCTTTATTTGAGTTGGCCTTCGGTTGATAGTCAAGACCTCCATATTTTTGGTCTTCAGATACACACTGAGTGTGAAGATTGTAGTCATATCTGCAGACAATCATAGCTACGGTTAATACAAATCCATAACAAATGGATCAAATGGATCCAATACAAGATTACGTGAAGTCTTTGCCACAATCGACACACGACACCGATTTCGTGTAACAGCTCCTCATGTGAACTAGGTGAAATAAGAAGGCGTCCCGAAGTGGTGTTGGTAACGTGCACTTCTTATGGTAACGACAGTGACAAACGAGTTATATAGTCTGTTTGTCAGTGATTTATTGACGAATTTATTTAAGTTAAAAATTGAATGCAAAACGTGTTTATTGTGATCGAAATGTTCATAAATTACATACACTTTACAATAAAATTCAGACCCTTTTCTAAAAAAAGTTTTTTAGTTTACCGTTAAATTATTAATTTTACAAATTTTATTAATTTTATATAACTTTTAGAAATTGTAAATTGATTCAGATTTCTCAATAAAGTATAGTATAAATGCCATTATTAATTTTATACCAAATTTTTCATAATATAAATTTTGTTATATAAAGTATAAAATCTATTAAATTGTGAGTAAAAATTAACGGTAAAAGTGTTTGGATTCAGTCTTATTCTTCGTCTAACATAAGATACTGATTGAGAAGACCTTTCCTCCAGAGGACGTAAAACTTGAAGTCGTTTCGTTTGATCGCCAGAAGCATTGCACACAAGAAGACATCGATGGCAACTATTGAGTGGATCAGTGCCATCGTCTTGACATCATATTTGAGAGCAATATTGTATTTGAGGTGATATTTGTAATACATTTCATATCTGGACTGAACGGACGGGTCATCCGAGTGCATGGCATACATCTGATAGCAATGGTTGGATCCAAAGCAGAAGATGGCCACCAATAGGTTGGATATACCGATCACTATTTGCCACACAATTACCGCGAAACACACTTTACTTCTGTTAACAAAGTGATACAGAAGTGACGAATACCACACTATTATCACCACAATTGCTTCAATGGCAGTGATGGAAGCGATGACAACAGATATGATCATCAGAAACCCCTTATTATGACGGCATTTGTCACTGACTTCGTAACAGACGAAGAATGGGATAATCAATGACCAGAAAGTGGCCGAAAGTGACAGAAGAAGGTATTCAAAGCCCAAATGCCAGTGTTTTCCGGACACATAATTGTCCAAAATCTTCAGATATCTGACGGGATTGAGTCGCGCTTGAAGTCGCGATCGAGTCGATGACTTTGAACCTCTTGAGTGCATAGATGGTGACGAACCTGTACTCGACTTACTAGTCATTGTATTCACACTTTTTCGACTTACATTGTCTTCAATTTGCTTTGAATTATCACTACTTTTCGGCTTTTCTGTCGCTTTCTTTGAATCATCGCTTCGTTTGATTGCATTTTCTTCGGGTTTCTTTGAATTGTCATTACTTTTGGACACATTTCTTGTGGACTGCTTTGAATCATCACTACTTTTGGTTGCATTTTCTGAAGTTGTCGTTGAATTGTCTTTGCTTTGAGTCGAATCCTTTGCTTCTTTGCTAATCTGATCCATTGAATCACTAATCGATTGTGATTTTGAAGCCATTTGTGGATCAATTGAATTGAATTGAGAGCAAAATTAAATTATGAATTGTATTGACTGTGAAATAGATTGAATGAATGGACAGCATACAAACTTTACTTGACACTCTGTCACATTTACAGTATTACTAGATCTATATGTTTATTACATACGGTAATTATTTAAGATTTGTAAATTCATTGAATGTAACTTATGATTTATAAGACAATTAATAAATTTTTATGTTAATTATACAAATAAGTTTTGTATAATTAAACCATTAATTTATATAATTAATCATCAATTTATGAAATTAAATATTTATTCGATTTATGATTAAAAGTAATGTAAGAATCAATTGATTTATAATTTCGTTATACAGTATTGAATCAAAATTCAAATAATAATAAACAAAACTTTTAATAAATATTTAATTTTGAGCAGAGTAAAATATATGCATACAATAAATGAAATATAGAAAATAAATATAAAACTATATCATACGGTAATTAATCCATTAATTCAGAAAATATATATAACTATAAATTAAGAAGCATTTCATACAGTATTTTATGGAAACGATATTTTCAATTAAAATCAAATTACTTGTGTATATTTCAAAGTTTCAAGTAAAATATAATTCATAAATCAGTTAAAGCTTTAAAACTTATTTTGATTACACTTTTGTAGACATACACAAACAGTATATGCATTAAACCGATACAACAGTATCGTGTAAGCGATATAACAATGATAATAATTCATTAAAATTGCTTAATATATACTTATATTTACATACATTTAATATAAGTTTCATTGAATTACAACTAAATTGTAAAATATACTGAAAAAAATGTGTAACTTATAACAACTGACAGCATTGATTGGTTTTGCGGGCAGTCTTGTAGAAGACTTTGCTCTGAGAGCTGAGGTCTTCAGACTTGGCCACCAATGTGTCCAACTTCTCGCCCCTCTGAAGAATACTAGTGATAGTGTTGTGAAGTATTATCTTTGTTTCGTCCAAATCCTCCTGTATTTTGGTCATAGCGTCCGCCTCTTTAGGGTTTTGATATTTCGCGAGATATGAGTCCAACGCTGAGTACGGGGAGGAACTGGAGGCCAAACCATCAACACATTAGTCACGAATTCAAACATACATTTCAAAAGTGTGTCAATACTTGTCAAGAGTGGTCGGCCACGAGTGCGAGGGAACCGTTTCGCTGAACTCATCCAACACTCGGCTGATGAGAGTGTGGGCCACTCTGTGAGGGTATTCGTGGTCTGATATTATCACTCCCGACAGACCATCGGATCTGATGTATATGTGACACAAATACTCTGCAAAACATAGAACTCATCCAACACTCGGCTGATGAGAGTGTGGGCCACTCTGTGAGGGTATTCGTGGTCTGATATTATCACTCCCGACAGACCATCGGATCTGATGTATATGTGACACAAATACTCTGCAAAACATATGACACCATTAGTGGCACTCATCAGTAGTGTCTCATCGGTGGTACAAACCCTGCTGTTTGATGGACGAGCGGCTGGCCTTCTCTGATCGCTCGACACATACTTTTGTCGTGAATTTCATGAACTCGTGGACACTATGGACACAAATGTCTTCAATTAGTACTTCATTATCACACAAATGGTCTGTAACTGTGATTCAATACCTATTCCTCTGAAAGAAGCCAAACGACGAGAGATCAGACGCCGACTTGAGGTTCACGACCCGGTTGTTCTCATTCTTGAAGAGCACTGACATGTAGTAGAGTTTAACCATAATTGGGATCAATTGAGTGACACTTGGTATGAGTGAATAGAGGGTTGAGTTGTGGTGTCAGTGAATGCAAAGTGAATGCAAACACCGATTACTCACACAAAACGTGTTGTCATTCGTTGACATCAATTGCCCCACAATTGGACACACATTACGACAAACCACTCATCAGTCGTGCCATCAGTTCAACACTTCTTCAGACATTAATTCACTTTTCATTTCATTTGTATTCAGATTTAAATCAAATTGAATTCAATTTATTATAACTTTAATTGTGTTTAACATTCAAATGAATGTCGAGTTTAAGCCGTAATTCATAGGCGTTGAGTGAAAGCGCCGGCTATTGAGTGGAAAGGGAGTCAACAAAACACTTCCGTTTCCTTTCGCTTCTGTATCCCAACATTCACTCAAAGGTATGGTATTTGAAGACCAATTTAATTGCACTTTAATTGCAATTCAACTCAATTTGAGTTCAATTTGTGTCCAAATGATTGTCCACTCGTGTGGCCATCGGTTGCCATAACTGTTGAGACCATTGAGCGAGTGTTTGGACACCAAATGAGTTGATTAGCCGTTGAATGCAAACCACGTTTTCATAGCAATTGATCGCAAACTTTGTTTTGATACTAATTAGCGGATCCACTGAAGTGACAAAATGGCGAAAATGAATAAACTGGTGACTTCTGCGCGCAGGAAGAACCGCAAGAAGCACTTCAACGCCCCCTCACATATCCGCCGAAGAATCATGTCTTCGCCGTTGAGTAAAGAGTTGAGACAGAAGTACGGCGTCCGGAGTATTCCCATCAGGAAAGACGATGAGGTCCAGGTATGTCGTGATCATAACCACCACTGTTTGGTCAGCCATTGATACTAATGAGTGTACTGTGTGTGCAGGTGGTCCGGGGTCACCACAAGGGTCAGCAGGTGGGCAAAGTGGTGCAGTGCTATCGAGCCAAGTATGTCATATACATTGAGCGCATCCAACGTGAGAAAGCTAACGGCGCCTCCGTTTACGTCGGCATTCATCCATCGAAGGTATAGTATCTCCGGAGACAATGCTTACCATTTGCCACATAATTAATGATTCATTCAAATGATGAATGAATGCATTAATAGGTCGATCATAATGTGGACAAATTGAGTGCGAATTGTGAGCAGTGTTTCAATGATAACATGATATCGTTTAAACTTTTCTAACTCTTCCACAACTCTTTGCACGAATAGGTGGTGATCGTGAAGCTGAAGATGGATAAAGACCGCAAACATATTCTCGAGAGAAGGGCTAAAGGAAGACAAATATCCGACGGAAAGACTAAAGGCAAACACACGGAAGAGTCGGTCGCTATGGAGTCCTCTTAGACCACATCCCTAGCCTTGACATCGAGTGTATTTCCATTTGAATTGTTTTTTGTCTAAATTAATAATAAAGAAATTATTAACAAGTGATTTGTGTTATGGTTACGTCATTTGAGAGCACCGGTGCTTTGTTTATGAGTACAATCGGGCGATTAGATTAAGGATCACGAGTGCAGTCTTCACTCGATATACCGGTGTATTAGGTTTGTGGCGAATAACTTAGAGTGGATATACAGTATGGACTGACTTGAGTTCAATTGTTATATCAAAAGTAGTAATTAATGTTTCCTGATGAGTTCATTATTATATAACTAGCGATTACCGGTAGCTATAATTTTCAAGTTTAAGTAGTTTTTAAAATAAATACCTGTACTGTACAAACATGTTTAGTATGAAATGAAAGTTACAAAACCATATAAACAACTATAATACAGTAAATTGGCCAGGGTTGGGTTTGAGTATATTGATCAAGTATTGCAGATTCCGATAGTTATACAGTTTATCGGTTGTTTCAATGCTATTATTTTTTTTATAGTAATATGAAATTATAATTCAAAGCATAAATTAATTTTATTAGTTCTACAATACTTGAAACAAATATGCCTTTGGCTCACAAATTAACCCAAATGATTAAATTCAAGATTTTTGTTAAAAATATAAAATTTCTAAAAGCAAAAAAGGGTTAAATTTAGCGAATAAAAAGATTTGTTACAGAAATTATACATTTAAATTAAAAAGTACGAACTGTTTATCTTATAAAAGTACCTGTACAATATAAAGTATATTAGTTTAGTTTCAATAACTGATTAAAATATTAAATAAAGTGATTTGTTTTGCGAAGAGAATAATTGTAGGAAATAGTGATAAAAGTGAGTAAAATATTATTGAATCGTTGAACTGATAATCAAAAGCTATTATTAATACTATGAAACGAGTCCTCAATTGCGTGTATTTGAGCTCCAAGTGCTCTTTAAACCTCTCCGGTCTGGTATTCAAGTGGTTTACCGGTATTAAAGTGACTCAATTGAGATCTTCTCACTGTTTTGTCATTTGATTAATTAGGAAAATATCCGTTCATTTAATATATCTTTAAATGTCACTAAAATAAATTATTAATTATTTTAAATAATTAATATAAATAGTAGTGTAAAATTTACACTGTAAATAATACCAAGTTGATTTGGGATTTTAAATATTGTTGAAATCGCTGAAAACTGTTGTCAATTCTTTTATGACAATTGGTGTATCACCAGAATGTGTTCAAAATGATGATTTAATTTATGTTTAAAAATATTGGTATTTAAAATAAATAATTTACTTATATCAATAAACTAATTTATTTTACTATAAGAAATTCCTGTAGAAAATCTTAATTAAATGGTAAATTTAAGATAATAGTTGTATACCGTAATGTGTTTATAATTAATCGACATTAAATAAAATTTGAATACAGTAAAATATTTTAATTTAATAATAAAATTAGAATAAGAACTTACTAGTTAGTATGTATTTATTAAAATAAAAAATTGTTACATTAACTGATTGATGCCTAAAAGTTGAGGGCAAGTGTTCCCAAGAATTTACTAGTTATTTGAGTTCAAATAACTATTTATCAAAACAAATTGTATCAAATAAGTCCATCAAATCTACATTATTTAGCGATTAGTCTTGTCTCTGATATATATGTCATACACAGCCATAAATACTCTTATTACACAAAATAATTATATTTAAAACTACACTCAATATAATGGAGGGGCAGTTAGAATTGTACAAATTATTGATGATATTTAAGTATTCCAAAGATTTAGCCGATAATACAGAAATTGTACCTGTACACATATTAATACAGTATTATAAATTGACATAAATGTTTGATAAATTTGGTGGCTATCTAGAATTTGTTAACATTGAATTTGGCTCAAATGACTTTCAAATATGAAAACAGGACTTAACTAAACTCGTTTTTGAATTTTTGTAGAAACTTGCATTAATTTAGAAAACTTGTGATTTCAAAAAATGTCCCTTAATTTCAAGTTTTTAAAGTTACAAATATGTAATGTTTTAATCTAATAATGACAAATTGAAAACTCATTTAAAGTGTACCCTTTTGAAGACATGATAATAGTATAATTAAAGTTTGTTGTAATAATTATTAAGTATTTTTGTGTAAGTATTTGTGAAAATATTAATTATTAATTGTAATTTACAAACAAGTTTATCAAAAGTTCTTTTATCAGTCATTCAATTCTAAACCCTTTTAACATTTATTTTTAGTTGAGTTTGAGATGTATTTGATTTTATGAAATTCTTTGCAATTGAGACAATGATAAAAAGTTTAATCTTATTTTGTTACATCAGATGTTACAGAATGTATCTACAGTAATGTTAACAATTTTAATTTAGGATTAATTATTTATTTGGTATTTATATTATTAGATTTATATTTATTGCTTATATATTTTTTAATGAACCAACTACTGTACTGTACAGTATACTGGGCATTAAGTCAAATTAATTTACTATATTAATTTTGTAAAATTTAATATAGTTTAAAATAATAGTTTAAGTGAATTTAATTTAGCAATGTTTGGTCAAAGTGATCAGGACATTTGATTTAGTAAATTCTCAAGTGGTTTCGATCTTTGAACACTTTCTAATATTAATGCCATTTCTTAAGCGTTTATAAGTATAAGATTTGAGTGTTTTCAAACTCACGTTAAATATAGTTCATAATATTTATTCAATGAAATCATATAATGAAATATAAATGTAATAAACTTTGTTTTAGCCTACAATTCAAGTGCTATACATATTTCTGTATAAACTGAACGTCAAAAAATTAAGTGTCTCTTTAATCGTGATATTTTTCAAAACCACTTCTCACTCGTTAATATCAGTTTTAGTTAATATTTGCTTTTTTGTACTGATTTTTACTCTAATCATATTCATTGTACTAATAGCTAAATATTCTCCTTTTGTGCGACAATTCAACGAATCGTTTATATAAGAAGTGTATTAAAAGTCAATTATTTTTCATATAAGTGTTCGTCAAATGAGTTCACAGTTTCACCAGAATATGAACTTTTTTAGTAATATTTTTGAGCATAAGAGCTGATATTTTCTACACTGCAATAAATTTTTGTCAAGAATTATATATATACACAGTATATATTTTAAATAAATATATATGTATATTCAAAAATACAATTTATAAATCCCACTACAGTGTATTAATAAATTAATTTGAAAAATGGCAAATTTATTGTACGGCATAAATAATTTGTGTTCAAAAAGCATAATAATTAATAACACGAATACTCGACTATTGTTTTACTCATTGCGACCGCAATCCTATCGGGCTATACATAACGGGAAGCGGGGATTACGAGCCCTTCAGGACCATCTGCACAAAGAGGTTGAAAGTGGATTACATGTGAACAACAATCCCAACAGAAATGTTATGAAAAACGCTTTCGAGACGCGAAACGACCTGAAAAACGCTCAGAGAATTGTCGTCAAACTGGGATCTGCTGTCATCACCAGAGAAGACGAATGCGGATTAGCTTTGGGAAGATTAGCGTCAATTGTGGAACAGGTCTCGCAGTTGCATAATGAGGGCAAAGACGTCTTAATGGTGACCAGCGGTGCCGTGGCGTACGGCAAACAGCGATTGGGCGCTGAGATGCGGATGTCTATGTCGATGAGGGAAACACTTTCGCCTAAAGAGCTCTTCAAGAGGGCTAACCCCGAGGCGAGAGCCGCGGCAGCCGTCGGTCAGAGCGGACTTATGGCGCTCTACGACGCGATGTTTATTCAATATGGTGTTCATATCGCACAGGTATGTGGGCTGTGGTAGTGGTAACATGTGTTCACTCCATTAGATGATACGTTTCACTAATACTTTCAATCCATTGTTTATTCATTGGTTTAACTGTTAATGTATTGGAAATGTTTTTATGGGTTTAAGTGAATTGTTATGAATTGTTTGCATAGGTTTTGGTGACGAAACCCGATTTCTACAATCCTATCAGTCGATACAACTTAAGGTCAACGGTATTGGAGCTCTTGAATCTGAATATCATTCCCATTATCAACACGAATGACGCGGTCGTGTCACCAGCCCTTCCAGACAGCGACTTAGCCGGGGTGGGTGTGGGTTTGGGCCGACCTATAGTCTCTACGACTAACCCGGTACAGTAGGCACCGATCACTTACTACTTTTTAGTAGTTTCGGTGTTATATCTGTTCCGCTATTTTGAGTTTTGTGTCCAATATTTTTTGTTAACACATTTCTCTCATATGTTTTTGAAAAACTCTTTATTCATTGCATAAGAAAAAGGATTTATTTGTTTAAATCGTTTGTTTGCACTTAAAGGTGATTAGTATTCAGGACAACGACAGCTTAGCCGCACACTTAGCCGTCGAAGTGGGCGCCGACTCTCTCATACTGATGTCGGATGTGAACGGAATCTATACACTGCCCCCCGACCAGGAGGGGGCCAGACTTCTGCACACATACGTGCCCTCCTCTAACGAAAGCGTCACTTTCGGCGGCAAATCTCGTGTTGGTTTGGGAGGAATGGAGTCTAAAGTGATGTCCGCCACTTGGGCTCTCGACAGAGGCGTGTCTGTTGTCATCTGCAATGGCATTGAGGATCAGGCGATCAACAGAATAATGAGTGGCAAAAGAATCGGCACTTTCTTCACACAATCCAAGGAGAAGACCGTTTCAGTTCAGGCGCTCGCCGCTAATGGTAAGCCTATTGGGCCTTAAATGCCACTTCTCTGTAGTGTTCATACTTTGGTCTCTTTTACAACCATTTTATGAATTATAACCAAACAATTAGTGAATTTGTGATACAGATCTCTGTCATAATTTCTGACTTTACTTTTGAGCAACAATTTTAAAGACGTGACAAATATATAAAACTCTTTTACACCAAAAGTTTGCCAAAAACATCCTTTACTGAAATCTAATCGCAGTTTAAATCTAAGATTTATCTCAAATCAACTGTTTGTTAGACGCTGACAGTCGGAGCGCTTCTGAATCACAATCGCATTCATTAAGAAATTTATTGTCTAAACAAACCATTTGTCTAAATATCGTATTCTTATATTTATTATATATAGTGTACTATGTTTTCATTCATATCTAACATAAAGTGCTGTATTTATCGCTCAATAAACACAAAGTAGTTTCAATTGCACTCTATTTATGTTAAGAAATTGTTTCAAAAACATTTATTTTTATGCATTATAGTAATTTCGATCAATTCAGTAATTAGATTTATTTGTCATTCGCTTTGATTGCCTTTAAACCAATATTTACTTATTTTTAAAATTTATTATTTGTTTTAAATTTCAATCAAAAACTCTTATTATTTTAAAGAAAAATAAAGAAATAATTTTACTCATAAAGAAAAAGTGTTTTGAGGCTAAAAATAAAAGTGAAATATTTAACTCAACTTTGAAACCAAAGACAAGTCTAATTGATGTGAAAAACATAATTAAAACATTTCTAAGTTTATATTTCTTTACGGATTCATTTAGAGTTTGATGAATAGTTTAAGAGATAATAAGAAATGCTAATGAATTTGCATATTTGAGGTATAATTTAAAATAGTTTACATAATTCTTAATTAAGTTATTCATGTATATTAAGCTTACTGCTAAAAGTTTTGAAACAAAAACTCAAGTTTCGTGAAACTAACCTATTAATGAAACAAAGTTGTTATGTTAAGAAATATTAAATGCTTTGAAAGCATTTAAAAGATAATTTGTCAATGATTATAATTAAGATAATTAATATTATTTAGCATAAAGTTATTTAAATTAGTTTTTAAATTAAAGTAAAAAATTTATTTGACGATTGCCTTGATTTGATGTAGTATATGATTTAGTAAATGCATATAAATTGGTGGCAATGGTTTGTTTGTTACTTTCGTTTAGCAGAGGGTGTGTTCACATCCAAAGGGTCTTATTATTGACAGAAATGTGTAACTTTTAAAAATAAGTCCAATAGATTGATAAATATTTACATNCTCAAATGACTTTCAAATATGAAAACAGGACTTAACTAAACTCGTTTTTGAATTTTTGTAGAAACTTGCATTAATTTAGAAAACTTGTGATTTCAAAAAATGTCCCTTAATTTCAAGTTTTTAAAGTCACAATTATGTAATGTTTTAATCTAATATGACAAATTGAAAACTCATTTAAAGTGTACCCTTTTGAAGACATAATAATAGTATAATTAAAGTTTGTTGTAATAATTATTAAGTATTATAATTAGTTGAGTAAATTGGAGTAACAATTATTTTGGTTGATTTTGTATTTCATATTTTTTGTGTAAGTATTTGTGAAAATATTAATTATTAATTGTAATTTACAAACAAGTTTATCAAAGTTCTTTTATCAGTCATTCAATTCTAAACCCTTTTAACATTTATTTTTAGTTGAGTTTGAGATGTATTTGATTTTATGAAATTCTTTGCAATTGAGACAATGATAAAAAGTTTAATCTTATTTTGTTACATCAGATGTTACAGAATGTATCTAATGTTAACAATTTTAATTTAGGATTAATTATGTATTTGGTATTTATATCATTAGATTTATATTTATTGCTTATATATATTTTTAAATGAACCAACTACTGTACAGTATACTGGGCATGAAGTCAAATTAATTTACTGAATTAATTTTGTAAAATTTAATATAGTTTAAAATAATAGTTTAAGTGAATTTAATTTAACAATGTTTGGCCAAAGTGATCAGGGCATTTGATAAGTAAATTCTCAAGTGGTATCGATCTTTGAACACTTTCTAATATTTATGCCATTTCTTAAGCGTTTATAAGTATAAGATTTGAGTGTTTTCAAACTCACGTTAAATATAGTTCATAATATTTATTCAATGAAATCATATAATGAAATATAAATGTAATAAACTTTGTTTTAGC